CTTCCATGAATTCTGAGTGGGTATGGCTTAGGCTGTGTTTTTCTGGCAATTTCTAATTTAAAATTCACTGTAGTCATCACTGTGGGAGGCAGACAGCTTTCTGACTCCACAGGCTGGGTTTTAAGCATTTTGTAAGCACTCTTACTTGTTGGGGATTTGCTTTCTCATTGTCCTTAACACATAGCATTATACCATCCTGTTTACATGTTGTCTGTCCAGTAGGTTGTGCATTCCTTAAAGGTAGGCTCCATATATTACTAATATTTGATTCCCCTCCTGACACAAAGCAGGCTGTTGATAAGCTCTTTTTTTCCATGAGAACTGAAAATACCATTTCTTTAAAAAGAAACAGAAAGGCTTCACTGGAGTTCAGATGAGAAAAAGGCAATTGGGAAGAGGTTTGCTGGGAGTTAGGAAAATAAAATCAGTACTGGTTTCCCAGAGCAATAGTGCTCATCTTCAAATTGTGTAAGTTTACTCTTATTTTATGAGAACTTCAAACACTTCAGTTTTTTAATATTTGCATATTTGATAGCTGAAGCTAATTCTTTATATAACAAGAGATGACCAGGTCAAAACCCTAAATTAAATCTCCATCAGTGGTGGTCCCTGGCCATTCCCACCATAGAGAAGTGACATGAGTCAGTCCTTCTCTACATAACATAAAATTTTGAGTTTTTTTTTTAAGGTATGTTGTTTAAGTGCATGTTGCTATGTTTAAAAGAAAATGTATTTTACATGTTTTTTACAATTTACAACTTAAATTTTTATTAAATTAAAATTCTATTAAATTTAACTTGTTAATTTATAATAAAATAAATTAAAATATTAAAAATAATTTAATAAGAATGCTTATTTTGTTGCTTGAAAATGTGTAAATACTGTTTTATGTCTGGGACACATAGTACCTTGAATGCCACCATATAGCAAATACATGCATATATGTGATCCATTTTGTGTATGATTACCCAGGTAGGACAGTGGGGTGTCCACCTGCATGCCCACTCTAATGTATGCATGAGAAGAAATAGGGGGAAATACAGGAGGGAGAGCAAGAAAACTCGAATCATTATAACCCACGAGAGGCACTCCCCAAATCAATAGGATGCCCTTAATATTCTCAACTGAGGAGTAGTTCCCAAATGGAATGAAGAAAGGATTTATGACAAATACTAAATAAATCGTCAGCTTTGAAGCACCTCCCAAAAGAGGCTTGTAGTACATGCACACGAGAAAGTTTTCATGTCTGATTACTCTCGAGATTATCTAAAGCTCAAAGTATTGCTACATTTCCAAAAATTTAGGAGACAGTGTAGATGTCAGACACAGTTGAAGTACCACCGACACCCATCCAGCCAGTCATATCTCTGTCCATTAAAGCAGGAGGCCCCTCCTACACATAGGATAGTCATTATCTATGAAAAAGAGCTTCACATACTTGGCGTGTTTGCAGTGATGGCCCTGACCCTCTCTTTTCCGTTCTCCTTCCCCAGCCCTCTTTAATTTTTCCTCAACTGTTTCTTTTTTCTGATTTTATCTCAGTCTGGCTCTGACTCTTGTTTGTGTCCCAATTTTTGGACACTTGCTGGTTTTCAAAGCATTTAAACCTCAATTTTCCACCCAGAGTCAGGGCACCTGGTGGACAGCAGACTCCACCTTTGTCACTGGTGGCGGCTGAACTGCCCAGGCCCAGTCCTTTCCCCCCAGTTCCCTCCTGCCAGGAGACTCCCTCAAATCCATGTTTACTTGACATGAGGAGAAATTAGGGACAGGGCTTGCATCTGCTGGTTAGGGAAATGAATTCTCAACTTTGTACCTAAAAGATCCAGCATCATTTTGAACAAAACTGGGTTTCTTGGCTTCATTATAGAAAATGGTACAAAGCACTATAATAAGGGATGAGAAAGGCATGATTCATGACCCTCCACATATAGGAGATTTAATTCTGCTTTTTGCTCAGTGGTCTATCCATTGTGTGAGCTAAGTCAATACCAATAATGAAATGTAGACTGAGGGCTAAATCAATTCAATAAAATACAATAGAAAGACTAGAAGACTGAGTAAATTTGGAAAGGCTAGTGCCTGCAGGATTAGTATTTGAATAACAGGTAATTACAAAAATCAATACTTGTATATGAAAACATGACAGGCAGCCATCCGTCACAAAGAGAGCACCATTACTAGCAGTTTGGGCCTGGAGGTAGGTCGGGAGAACAAAATGGACTTTGCACAATTCCTATCAGGGCTTATGTGTGCGTGTGTGTTTCATGTGAGGCTAAAGGAGAGAAAGGGAAACTCCAGAGGGCTCGCTTTATGGTTTATTGAAGCTTTTGCACTTTCCCTGTGCCTTTGGCTAACTTTTACTAACTCTAATCTCCTTTTGTCAACTAGGCATCAGGCTGTGCCCTGAGTCCTACATCACTCTTTCCTTCCTTCTCATCCCAGCCTCCCAGGTATCAGGGGAACATCATCATGAGGTCCTAGCAGTGTCTGGGGCCTTTAGGAGGTGGAGGGGTGGACTGAAATCCATCATATGAACTGCTAATCTAAGTGCTGGCTTTCAAAGAATCTCCAAGCAGTTAGAGGTGACATGGGCAACTTCAAGGGAATCCAGGGCAAAATGAGAAAGTAAGCACATGTACACAAACAGATGTATACATATAAACACATGATGAAATAGTAACCTAAGAGTCTTGACTGTGTTCCTGGCCAAAAAGAATATGAATGAATGAATGAATGAATGAATAAGCAGTTTGCATATATGTCATTTAGGCCCTACAAAGACTACAAAGGAGGTATCAGGCCGTCTATTTTAAAGATAAGGGCTTGAGAGGACAATCAGCTTGTTCTGGGAGACAGCTGGTGGGCAGGAAAAGTGTCAGAAGATGCATCTATCTGACGCTAATGTGTGTGTTGATCACTGCCTCGTTGTGCCACCTCTTGCCTACCACTGGACACTGGGGGACTTCTATGTGGCCACACCTGAGTCTATAGCAGGTGTTGGGGGTCACTGTTATTGAGAGGTTTTAAGGTCAGTCCAAGGAGCATGTAGAGAGAACGAGCTAGATAGCTGACTTCAAACCTCCCCAGGCCATGATGTCTGTACTACCTGACCACGTGAGTCTTTGTAATGAAGAGTCAAGAGTCTGTTTTTTGATGTTTGGCTTCTAACTGCTTTTAAGCCTCATCCTACCTCTTCCCCTTTGCCCACATCTGAGCAAGCTGGTAAGAAAGCTGGATGCGTCCTCCTTTGGCAACCCCATCAAGCCACATAAGCTCCTATCTGCATGTAAGAACACTCCCCTAGTCCACCTGTAACCACCATAAAACACCGAGCCGGCCTCCCTTCCTGCTCTCTCAGCCATTTTCAGTCCTGCTTGGGAGCCACACTGCTCACCTGCCATAAGCTTTATTATGTAAGTGAACCAATTTTTTGTTCCTTTTTGGTCTATGTGCAGTATCATCAGACTTGACATCAGAACCAAATTTTGAGTCCATCTGCTTTTGTGGGGGTGCCACAACACTCCTGGGACACCTTTATGCTCACAAAAGGAATGAAATGCTTTTGTGGCCTTTAGAGAAACCCTCAAAGTTGTAATCTTGAAAAGCATGATGGTATGTGATCCCTAATCAGAAATCTGTCTACTTGGAGCAGCTATTTGGTTTACTACTAAAGACAGAGGATGATTAAGAGTTTCCACTCAGGGCAGAAGCCACGTATCTTTATTTTGAGTTCATTATAACAGTACTTTTGGATGTTTTTACATTTATCTTCCATGGACAGTATTTTTCTTTCTCTCAGTATTGGCACTAAAGAAACTGAGACTGGATAATTCTTTGCTGTGGGTGCTGCCCTGTACATTATAAGAGGTTTTACGGCATCCCTGACTACCACCTAGTAGATGCTAATGGCACAACCTCAACCCTCTTCAACTGTGACAACCAGAATGTCTCTATATTCTACCAATTATCCCTTGAGAGGCAAAAACCACACCTGCCTGAGAACCACTCCTTTACATTCATGCCACAGAGAAAAATGAGTTTTCCCATAAGAACGAGCATGGATCAAGCCCTTTGAGTTTCAGTGGAAGAAAGACAGAGAAAAAGACGAAAATCTGCTAGGCTAGATACATCTCAATGCGAGCATGCAAAAGCTATAATAAATTACAATTATATCTTCACATTTATTCTTTCCACTCTTAAGCTAATTTAGACACTCTCAAAATTGCTTACATGTTATGGAAATGACTCTTTATAGCTTATGAAATCTTCTTTAAAAATTTGATTACTCAGTTGTGTATATGCAAATGCCTGTCCCATTTAAAACAGCAGTTAGCTGTGCTGACCATTGTGATTTTCTAGAACTATCACACATCACAATGCATGCACTTTAAAGTTTTCCAAAAACACAAAGCATGTTAACATTTGTTTGCATGATGGACATAGACAATATCTCCTTAATGGAACACATATATCCATATTATGTCCAGTGACACTTCTGTAAATGGTTCAAAATACTTGGTTATAACACAAAACTGGTTTATTGCTTCAAGTTCCCAAATTATCAGTGAGTTTTCCAGGAAGAACAGATGATGCTATAGGTTGACTATAGTAATCTTGTAAATTGAGAAGACAACATAAGATGCTTTGTGTTTCTTTAGGATTCAGAGGCAGAGACAACTCCAAAAAATGAAATGGGAGGAAGAAAGCAAATCACACCAGAAGTGCAGCATTTCATAACCTTGCCTCTGTTCATACTAGCACATATCTATCTCTGGTCCTCTATTCCTCTGTATTCAAATATTAAAGAAGATGAATGTATACACAGGCATGCCAATCATTAGTGGGAAGTGCTTTCTTTGTTTCAGTCCTAAATATGGATCTAAAAGTCTGAAAACACAACTTTAGTTTCCCCATGTCTTTTCCCTTTCAGCATTCCTCTAAAAATCTACGTGATGATGAATTTGACACCAGCCATTAAGAATCCAAGGAGCACTTACCTCGGCTTTAATTTTATTATCTCCAAAACAGAGGTGCTGTAAATAGGCTGCAGCATTAGACTGGACTGAAGGAAACTGATGTTGCAACATCTGAATCACTTCTGGCAGTTCCGGGTCTCTCCATCCAAATTCTCTGAACAAAAGGAAGGCAGAGAACATGAGAGAAATCCTGCCACACTGTTCACATATGGTTAACTCACTTGTGAAATGTTCTTAGGAGTTTATGTGGGATGATTTGAAAAATGATTATTCTGGTTTTACACATATACCCGCTTAAAAGGATTTGCAAAGCTTTACTTTAATAAATGGTTTGTAAGTATATATACATACACATGTAAGCATTTTATATGTATACAATGTATATATATAACCATGTGCATATATATATACACATATAAAATAACAATAATAATCTTAAATATATCAGCTGAAGTTACATGTTTATGAAGATAATGAAAATATGACTTAAAATGGCACATGACTTTACTAATACCTATATTTTTTACTTTGGTTTAAACAGGTAATTTTCAAGTCCACATTATTTTCTAATACATTATTTCAATGCTCTGATTTACAGGTATAGTATTTAGCTAAGTTATCAAGCAAGAGAAAATATAACTGGATGGGTCCAATCCAAAATGTCAAAATAGCAGTTGATGATTCATCTGTATTATTTTTTACGTTTGTTATTGCTGTTATTATTATCATAATTCCCTCTTTAAAATAGATTCCACAAGTGATTCTCTGGGTATAAAAATACAGCAACAAGAAGACTTTATAAAAGGAAATTGTTTATTTAGAGAGCTAGGTTTATTCCTACAATGTTAATAAATGTTTGATATTGTACATTCTTTTCTTGTACCCTCCTTTTTCACATCTGAGCTATTTTAAAAAGCTGGTTGTTTAGTTTTAAGAAATACACTCCAAGACATTGAAGCCCATTCTAAAACATAGGATTGACTGTGCCATCATGCAAATGAATATTTGTTTATGAAATCAATCAGCTTAATCAATTAGAACACATTGCTAACAGGGCCAACTCTACAGATTCTATTCCTGGAACAGGGAACCAATTTTTAACAGAGAAATAAAAAATCAACCTCAGAGACGAGACCACAGATAAAAACTTGACCCCACATGCCACAAAGGGGTACTATTTATCTGAAGGATGGGGTGGAAGAGAAATGAGGTGTCTTTGCAATAACCACTCTACTCCTGAAGAACAACTAACACACACATTCTGTTAAAGCCAGGTCAGTGCTGTCATTGGAGAAGGGGAGCCATGAGTAATGGGAGAGGGAAGGAACAGGCAAAGGTTAACAGTGTCCTCGTAGATCCTAACCTTTTCTCTTTACCTTCCTTTTATCACAGCTGGTGGAGCTTGTCAAGCAAACCTTGAAACCTGTGAGGACTCCCTTTACAGCTACTGAGACAATATGAGATAGGATTCCTGTGAAAGAGGCTTGGTTTTCATTGGAAAGAAAAGGAATCTGATTTAATGTTCATGAGGTATTTAATAAATTTACATAAAATGTTAGGCAGACACATATTTTCAAAATGATGTATAGTACAGTAATACATCTGCTCAAAACATACTTAAGTGATTGCTGATAATGGACAAACTTGAATTTTCTTGGCTATGGGATCACAATAGAAAACAACTATGGATTAAAACACAGGAAGCCTGCTTTTCTTCTTAATTTTCTTTTGTTGCATGATTCTTAACCACCTCTGTTACATTTAAGAGAGCACATTCCCTCTGCTTATAATAGCAGCCTCCTAAAATTCTATTCTTTGTTCAAATTAAACACAAATCTACAGAATATCTATCAGCTCAAATTAGGAGCATCATATAAAGATACTGGATGGCTAAGATGAATTCAGGGAAGCCCATGCTATAGAAAAATGATGAGTAAAGAATTCATTTCAACCTATTTTATTAACCAGATGGTAACTGCTCAATTAGGCTCACATATACCAAAAGCATCTTTTGAACGAGATCTGTAGGGAAACAGTCATAGGGATTCTCTGCACACATGCACACACATAGGCTTGCTCATGTAGATGCATGTATGTACATGTGTGTATGTACATGAGTTCAAGACGGATCAAAGCTCTTCACTCATGGGTCAAAAGAAAGACTGTCAGCTCCCCCCTGAAACCTATGGAATCCCAAACATCACCCCCACTTCAGGCCTCCCTTCCCAGACCTAGCTCCTCACCTTTCACTCTGCTGACTGTGCCAGGCATGCTGACTTCACCCTCCTTCCAAACTAAGGCACCTAAATATGCACACGCACAAACCTAATGTTGCCTCTTCCCTGTTTAAAACCCTTCAGTCATTCCCACTGTCCTTGGGATAAAGGCCAGGATATTCCCATGGCCTGCAAGGCCTTGCTGCACCTGCCGTCTCCTCCCTCACCTGCCTCACATCACATCGCTTCCCTGGGCTCTCCTTGCTGGCCACACTGGCAGACAGGCTGGCGGTGCTCTCTCCCAAGTCTGTTCCTGCCACCTGGAAGGGTCCCAGCCCAGCAGCCTATCACTCAAACCCAGGGCCTCAGGTTCCCCATGGCTTCTTCAGCAAAGGCCTCCACGACTCCTGCCCACACAGCACCAGGTGGGTAGCCCCTTCACTGTGCAGTGGACCGTGACCAGTTACCATCTCGCTCGACACTCTCTGGGAAGTCCCGTGAGGCCAGGACTGCTCTTTTGTCATCTTTGTTACCCGACACACACAGTACTGCCTGGTACACAATGGACACGAATGTGTTTTGCAAGAATGAAGGCATGGAGGAATAAGTGGATGGAGCTTCTCGGCAGGGAGGGTGTTTCCTCAGTTCTACTGAGGTTACTGCTGAGGACAATTGGCCATTCCTGGAATTCTCTGGTCACTCACACGCATTCGTGCTCCACGCTGCCAGCCTGAACAGTCTTTTCCAGGCATCAATCTCATACCTCTGTGCCTTCAACCCTCCGGAGTCTTCCCACTGTCCTTGAGAAATTCCCAACTCCTCCCTTCTGCTTGTGAGCCCCAGGTTTGAGGCCTGTTTCTGAGCCTCCTGCCCTGGCCTCCCTGACTGTCCCTACTTCCTGTCTGTGAAAACAGCTTCCCATCCCATCTCCAGGTCCTATGGGGAGGCCTCACCCTAGGGTGTCATGGGACTCCTTGTGTTTATTAGGACTCGACTCATGTTCTGGAGGGTACCTCCCTGGGCTTCCAGCCAAAGAAGCCCAGCCCTGCACCTTGTCACTAATCTCCTGCCATTTTACCCACAACAGTTGCACCTACCTGAAATTCTCTACTGTTGTTACTACTTTTATTTATTGATACCTGTCTTCGCCCTCCACACTAAGGCTCACAAGGGCAAGGACTCGCCCCACAGCAGGGGGAATGCCTGGAGTCACTGTGCTCCATTCCTTATCTGGTGCAGTGAAAGTGGGGTGCTGGGGGCTGCTCTGGGACAGGGTGCAGGGGCTGGGAGTGATCAGAAAGCCAGGTGAGACTGAAGATAAACGGAGGTTCATGTTACCGGCCTTCTAGCAATGGGGTGGGTGGGATTGCACATCCAGTTTACCTCTGGTTCATGCTAACTGGCATCCCTCACAACTCGGCCACAGCAGCAGTTACCTTTTTAAGGAACACACATGTTTTCAAATGCTCTCCTCAATGTCACAAGACAGACGTTGAAGGAGCACCCTCCCGGCAGGAAGTGGGGGAGAGGGGTTTATATCCATGTGTCTTTTCCTAGAACAGTTTTGTTTCACTTCGATGAGGTCCTGTTGAGATATTTTGCTGTCCATGAAGATGGACTCCAGAGGAACAAAGAACTGGAGGCCAGAGGAAACGAAATGTCTCATTTGGGCCAGACTTTAGGATGTGATAGGATTTCTTCACATAAGATCTTACTCTTTAAGTACAAGGGGTGGCTCATTAAGACAAAAAAAATTCTGGAAAAGACAAATAGCAGCAAGGGAACAACACATGTGAAGTTATGGGGTCATGAGAGGAGTCGGATTTGGGAGAGGTGTGCACTCAGCCGGGCCAGGGTGTGGCTGCGAGGCTGCCCGGAGGAGGGTGCCTGGAGGGGGAGAAGGGGGTGTGCTGGAAAGCAGGTTTGCAATGAGGTCCTGAAGTCAGGCCCTGGCCTGTGGTCAATATTGTGACACAGGAATCCAAGGGAATCTAGATTTGTTCAGACTCATGGAATAGGCAGAAAATAGCCTTAAGCAATAACGTGACTGTGTACTGAAGTCAGTTGCCAAGGTTCCTGTTTACATGCTTTAACTCTGTAATCCTTAACTAGCTGTATGTAGTTTATTTTTGTTTTACAGAGGAGCAAATTTAGACTCAGGGATGGTAATGAACTTAAGTGGTAGAGCTAAGATATAACTTACTGTCTGCTTTCAAACAGATAAATTTACCCATACAATTGTGTTGCCTGCTGTAACCACTGTCTGAAAATTAGGTCTAAAACGGTGATTTTTCTACCCAGTGTCTAAAAAACATGTTTAAAACAGTATCCTTGGGGGACATCTGTCAATACCTGAAGACATTCTGGGTTGTCACAACTGGAGGATACTAATGGGGTCCAGCATAGAGGCCAAGGATGCCACTCAAAATCGTACAATGCACAGAACAGTCCCTGACAATAAGTTATTATTTGTCCCCCAAATGCCATTAAAGCTGGGGTCGAGAAACCCTGGTCTCAACCTGTACTGTATTTGATCACTTTTGCTGAGCAATCATGTTATAAATCCTTCACTCCTTGATCGCTGTAGTGGAGTGGATGGGATTCAGCATCATCATAACTGGGAAAGTGTTCAGAAGCACAACAGCTGGATTTTCCTTTCCAGTCTATAAAACAAATCAATACAGGATAGTCCCTTAGTGTGTGCTGGTCTTGATTTGCGTGGATCAAATATAAGAGAACACCACCTATTTCATGGGAGTCTTTTTTAAATGACACCATAAAATAATATATGCAAAGTGCTTGGTAAACGGTGAAGAGCTAGATGTATAGTACTGACTGTTACTCTAAGACTGCTGCAAAAGACTTCTGTGTAATTTATATAATACCACTTAATTAAAAAAAAATAACCTTTTACCAATGTGCATTCAATTGGCCATTA